TAACTGGAAATCAATTTGTGTTTCATATGTGCATGTGTGGAGAAGGACCATCTAACTAGCCTTTTACCCATTCAATTCACCTAATTTAGTGTTTAATCTATTTAGTTTTGCAATCTGCCTAATTTAATTAATTTCGTCCAAATCAATTCCCCCTTTTATTAAGTGTGTTGGATTAGTTAGAAAAGTGTTTGAATCTGTCCAATTTAGTGTTTTGAGTCGAAGTTAGTTAGAATTCGTCCAAATAACTTGTTAGGTCTAGAATTAAGTCTTTTGATTGTTTGTAGCTGTTTTGAGTGTTTTAAGTTAGTTTTGAGTCTATAGAGTCTAGTTTAGTGTTTTTGAGTCCTATTTGAGTTGATTAGCATCACTAGTTAATCTCCGGTTTAGAACGATCCCTACTTGCATATGTACTACAATTGTCACAAATAGGGTTTAATTTGTGTGTCAAGTTAATTTTCACATCAAAAACATGGTTAATTTTATAGGAATTAAATCAGTTAGAGATTTGGAAGTAAGATAAAAGAAATAGTAGCAAACTAAACTGGAGTTTAGTTTGGGCCTATCACTAATATTATTATTTCCCGAAATAAAGCAAATAATTCGGGGCGGGGTGTGACAAGCATTCCCATGTCTATTTGATTCCAAAACTGCTTGGTTTAATCTTCTTGTTGTAATGCACATGTCTTCGCATAGCTAGTTAGGATCGTGCTCCACTAGAATTACTCTAAACACCCAAAAAGCTTGTTTTCCACTCTTTTTTTTGCATAACTCCGGTATTGAATGCTTATAAATTAAAATAATATAATTAGTGCATTTAACCCTTTCATATATACAAAATCCAAAGGAAGTATATGACAAAAATATATGAAAATATGCACCCATCACCTATTCGACGTTACAATTGGTTATTGGGTACGAACTTAACGTTTCGTACTTACATGTTTTAGGTGTGCATTCCATGTGCCAAGTTGCGCCGCCGCAATGTACCAACATGGGTCCTTAAAGAAAGATGTGAATGTTTGTCGATTACGATTCTCTTTCACACTAGCTCTCTTAGAGCCTTTGCAAGCGATCTCTTTACCGCTCATTTGCAGATTATCACTTCAATGACACAGTTTTCCCACCGTTATGAGGTGATAAGAATGTCAACATTCATATAGAATAGTGCGAATTTGCATGGATGTCCCCCACTATGTCTCATCTAGATCCTCGTACCCGCACAAGTGTGATAAGTAAGTGTGATGAATTCTAACTTTCAGAATGTTGCTCCAGATGATTCCTCTGATCTAGCTAAATTGACGAGATCATATACCAGCTGCAAACATTGTTGTGTTCCTTCAAGTGCAAATATAAGGATAGTATAATGGCATAAGTAAGGGTGTCGAACCACAGGGACTGATTAGAACTTACAAATTACTAGCTCTATGTGAACCTTCACTAACAATGAAAATGAAAACTGAATTTAGATTTTTGTTTTGGAAGCTAAAGTAACTTAAAATGCAAGACAAGATAAAGATGATTGATAGATTGATTCAGAAACGATGGGAATGGAACTAGGGATACCGATTTCACCATTACAAGCTAATTCCATGAAATTTAAGTCAAAACGCATCAACTCTCCAATCTACAACTACGGTTCGTTTTACTTATTTATGATCATCCATTTGATGTGTGGTTGTGATCAAGTACTCCTAATCTGCAACCTAGTTGTGATGTTCAACTTAGATTACCAATTAAGAATCCATTAAGAACAAGAAAACTTCAAAGAACCAAAGAAATCACATGGCAGGATGTATGCATAGCAGTTTCTTCATTCATTCACATGTCCACCAAGATTAAGCATGATGTGTACTATAAGCTCGATCAAATAATTCATAAGCAGCCCTAATGGTGATCAAACATTAAGATTAACAAACAAATAATACTATAAAATCAGTGAATGAAACAAGAACACATATTGGTAATTTGAATACTTTAACTTAATAACATAGAGTAGGTTTGCAAGGCTACATCGAAATCTCCAGCTATGAACTTAATTACACAACATGATTACAGAATATATAAATATCAAGAACAACATAAGTGAAATTAAAGTTCATAGAAGGAACCCCCTTGAAGCAACTCTGATGTTGAACATTTCCAAGACCAGCAGTGGCTACGTGGTTTCTTTGGTGGCTGTGGATGGTGAATGGAGAAAGGATTTTGTTTCTTGAAGAAAGGCCAAAGAAAAAGACGAGAGAGAGCTTTGGGCGGCCCCAAGGGGGAGCTTCTCTAAAGGTGGCTAAAACTCTCAGTTTTATAAGGTTAAGAGGCTGTTATAGAATGCCAAGACATTCCAGTAATGGAGCATTTATTTCAGAAGTTTTTTGCTGTTATTGGTCTCTTAAAGTGCCATATACATCTCCATATTCAATTGTACACTTTGAATCTCTCTCTACATCATAATCCATATTCAATTATCCATTTCAACACCATTTTGCCTTATTTACCCTCAAATGGCTCTAAAATACAATTAACTGCACATTAACACAAAAGAGAGTAAAACGCAACCAGCTTAACTCAAAAATATCACAAAGAGACTAGGAATGGATGGTATAAAATGTATGAAATATATGAGTTATCAAACATGCCTACAAGGATAGACGTACTTAAAGGACGTCGAGTCAACACCCCCGAAGGGTGTGCTGCTCCTGTTGGACTGGTTTGGCCGCTCATGTTGGACAATTTGGTACACCCGTGGATAGCCAATCAATCTATCTTGGCCTAAACCATGACAGATCACTCGGTTGATAGGATTCACTTCCCTAGAAGAGGAAGATCACGGAACAAAATGATTTTATACTCGATCGCTGTCTCAATCATTTCCATCTCATGAGATTAATCCGAATTACTCCCGAGACGTGAAGTTCTTAGTCTAGTATACTAGTTTGGATGAGATAATGGAATTGGAATGAGATTAGCATCGATGATGTTTTCACTTATATGGTAACTACTGAAATAAATGAAAAGCGACGATATCGAACCATGTTCCGTTGATTAGCGACAACATAAAACTGATTGGACAACTGAAATTACAATCCAGGTTAAATTCCTTATCGAAGTGTGTTTGGACCTATCATTCCTACACTACCCAAGGTAACCTTGTTGTGTTACAAGTGGGAAATGAAGCATAATGAGATGAATGAAATAGTGCAACATGATGCACATCTTATGGTGCTAGGTTTCTCTCAAATGCCTTGTGATTGATTGTAGCATTATGAAATGTGGTTATTGTTTCTCCATGGAGATATTGATACAAAGATTGACATGTAAGTTCCTGAAGAATTACATGGACTGACTCAAATAGTTCCAAACCATAGAACACTCTTAACTCGTTTGAGGCGTTCACTTACGAATTGAAGCAATCGGCGGATATGGTATACCTGTCTAAGTGATTATTTGATCAGTTAGGGATATGAATTATACCCTTATGTGTTAAACTATGAAGTCATATTCCGAATTGCTAGAGTTATAGTTTATGTCGTTGACATGAATCTCACTAAGACTCTAGAAAAGCTTGAGAAAATTACCTCACATCTAAAAACGGAATTTGAGATCAAAGATCTTGGAAAACTTGTTTATGCCTTGACTTGAAGTTAAAACATTGTTTTGATGATACTTTGATCTACCAGTCAAACTACACCTCGAAGGTGTTACCTTTAAGTAAACCTATGATCTTCCATACACTATATGCAAATAAGATCCTTGAAGAGGTTATGGAATCTAAAATTCCATATCTAAGTTCAACTTTGTGATTTGTTATACTTAACTCATTGTGTTAGATAAGACATCTCTTTCATTGTTGACCTATTGGTAAAGATGCAGCACTGCGCTTACATGCAACCACTGAATTGGTATTAAAGACGTTTTTCCCTTACCCTGAAAGGTACTACGGATTTGGGCTAATCCCAATGCATCTTGAGCAGATTCGACCCCCTGATCCTCAGAATGATGCTTGCCTTGTTTGTTACGTTGACGCATGGTACTTATCAAACTCGCACAAGGCACATCCTCGAATGGTTATGTCTTTACCATTAGGGATATCGCAATATCTTGGAGGTCCACGATATGACCTTAGTTGCGAAATCTTCGAATCATTCCAAGACTCACCTTACTTCACTATGCCACATGTGAAACATGGTTGAGATCTCTTGTTGAGCATATTCGAAGTACTTGTTGTTTTCATCCATCGTTGAGTCCTGACAACGATGCATGATGACTATGCCGCATGTATCAACACGACCAAGACATGATACATCAAAGAAGTCAACACCAAGACATATTGAGTCTACATCTACGTCTACATCTACATCTACATCAGTAAAGCAATAGGAGATTGAAGTCATGCAAGCCGATCCCAAACAACCTTGCCGACCTCTACACGACGTCACTACCGAAGTCAACCTTCTAGAAGCTTGTCCGAGGAATTGGTATGCCTAACTATTCATATGCAATGCTTATAGTTATCATTTGGAAGTTCTATCAAACTTAGGGAGAGTATCCAGAAGTATACTTAGTTGATCTTAATGTACTCTTTTTCCCTACGATTAAGATCATTTTTCCCATTGAGCCTTTATTTTACACACTCAAGGAGGAATGTTGCAGTCCTATTAGATTAGGAATGTGATTGTGTAAATCCTAGTGTATCTAGAGATACATTGGAATATTCTCTAGGATTATATATTATCCTATTAGAGTCTATGGGTAAGAATTTAATCTTCCCTACTACTATAAATAAAGGCACAATGTGATGATACAATACACATTTCACAATTACACATCTCTGTTCTCTCTATGTACCGCACTCTCTCTCTTTGACCTTTTGTTCAATAAATTATGCCAACAATGTGATAGGATTTTTAGAGTGCCCTCTTTCTTAATAGGATTTTTAAAGTGCCCCTTTCTTATTAGGTATTGAAAGATTCGACACGGGCACGTTGTCCACATTTCACATTTCACATACTCCACGAGTCCGTGATGTTGCAAGGGATTTGTAGTTGCAGTTGCACACGCGTTGAGTGAAACAGTCACTGAATATATTCTTATAAGTACAACCCTGCGAATGGCGGAAACTGTTCCCATTTCCACCGATCCTACATTCCGCATTTTCTCAACCAACAGCAATGGCTGCTTCTTCTTCTCTCTCTTTTAGGTCTTTCTTCAGCTCCGTCGCCGCCGATTCCAATGACGTCGTAAGTGCTTCCACTCCCATTCTAGCTTTTGTGTTTTAATATGTGTTTGGATGCCGAGAAAATGCACAAACTATTGCTGGGTTAGGGACGGATGTCTTTGAATGTGAGAGCTAGCATCCCATCTCGCCTGACTTTTGTCTCCTCATGCCTTCTTATTGCCCCATTCCTGAAGTAGATTTAATTTGGGTAAATTCAATTTATGGTCCAGTTTAGGTGGTTCAGTTTGGAATTTGATTCAATGGTTTTAAATTAGGGTTTATAACTTAGGATTTTACTGAAATTTGGATGTTTTTTAGGAGTATTTCAAGTATTTTCAATACATTTGTTATTGGTCCAATGTCTACAATATTTTACGGTCTAGTGGATCCTTAAAATTGGTTTACATCCAGTTCTAATTGGTGGATTTTTAGGGTTTAACGCCTGGGAATTTCGGGCCAAGCTTTGTGGATTCCCGGGTCAGTTTCGGGTTCACAAAGGCAACCAAATCAAGGGGAAAGACGTTGTCCTGTGAGAATAAATTTCAATTGAAGTGTTCGGTGGACAGAGATATGGATCTGAGCACTTCAGCAATATCTGATGGTGTTGCAGACTGCGTAAATGGTTTGTGTGGCTCTTCTTTTGTTGTTGTTGTTGTTATGCTCAATATATAGTTCATGCTTGCTAGTCTGTTAAATATCTCACAGAAGTTGGGCCGAAAGAGCCAAGTATCTCAACTATGCTGATGAACTTTGAGAACAAGTTTGATCCATTTGATGCAATGAATACGCCAATTTACCAAACAGCTACGTTTAAGCAGGTAACAAACGGAGATGAAGATGTAAGACTTGTTGCTAAGTTTTGTGTGGTCATGATTATTCTAACTGCTATAGTTGTTAATGGTAGTGAAGAGTTTAAAGTCATTAAAGTTGAATGCTGCTTAGGGACATGATAAGCTATTGTAGGAGTGTTTTTAGTAGGAACTAATGTGTATGAATCTGAGGTATTTTTAATGCGCGGTGAGAATCTGGTGTGGGGTTGTTGTGAGGAACCATGGAAGTCATAACTTTATTCTCTTGTTTAAGGCATCAAGCTATGTTCTTACGGGTAGGGGGTAGGCCATTTCAGGCGAGTTGAAGAAAGAGCTAATTTTTGAACATGTCTGAATGTTTGTATAAGTTTCTCTCTACTTATTATTCTTTGCATTCATAAGAGGAGGGTGCTTGTGCCTGTTGTTCAATTTTAGGCTTGAATATGTGTTCAAAGGCATCTTGATTGTGGGAGAAATCTCTGGCTTGTGATGTCTTTGTTAGATGATATTCTGTAACTGAGTTTCATATTAGTTATGTCTTCAATATGCAGCCTTCAGCAACAGAAAATGGTGCTTATGATTATACTAGAAGTGGAAATCCCACACGGGATGCCTTGGAAAGGTCTGATTTTACTTTGTTGAACGTTAAATGCTGTTCAAGTCGATTTGACAACTCTTGAATGTTTTATATTCTTATTTCTCTACATTTGTTAGCTTTCATTCCTTTGTATTTCAGCCTTTTGGCAAAGCTTGATAAAGCAGATCGAGCATTTTGTTTCACTAGTGGAATGGCTGCTTTGGCGGCTGTTGCTCATCTTTTAGGAACAGGTATTATTTTCAACTATAGTACCTTTTATGTTGTATAGATTAGTTTAGTTACTACATTGAAGTAAGAGTGTCAGTTACACTATACACGTACTCCCTTAATACACCTCAAAATGCATCAGATACTTGGATTGGAACATGATAAATAATTAAACGTGTAAGGGATTTACCTATCAGAAAATGTATATACAAATGATTCAGGCTTTGAGGTCGTTCGAAATGTAAGTGTACATGGGAAAACGCAAATAAAACATATATAAGAAAAACAAAGGAAAAAGATAAGTCATACTTGTCCCTGAAAAATAGACAGGTACGGATGATTGAAATAAAATCTGCAGATGGGCACCGTAATAGGGCTAGTCCTTGTGCAGCACAAGATCACCCTGAACTCTGAACTCATAAAGTGCAGCCCCCAAAGTTCTGGGCGATATGGTTTTGAGCTAGTTAGGCCGGATAAAGAGTCCTGATTTTTATCTTGCAATCAGCTTATGTTCGTAGGGTTTTTAGCAGTTATTCTGTAGAAATCACATTAGCTGGACTAAATTTTGTTGTTAAGACCTTGCTCTGAGCAAGTTAGTTTTGTATGCGAGTACTCAAATAAATTTCATTTCTTTTTGGAAGCTGTCTGAATAGTCAATGGTAATGATGCCATTTTAGGTGAGGAGATTGTTGCAGGAGACGACATTTATGGAGGTTCTGATCGGTTGCTATCACAAGTAGTTCCAAAGACTGGAGTTGTGGTGAAGTTAGTATGATTTTCTCCTGTTCTTATATTCATTCACTTTGAATTAACTCTGAAATTATAATGATTTACCACTCAGACGAGTGAACACAAGTGATTTAGATGAGGTTGCATCTGCTATTGGCCCCTGGACAAAGCTTGTGTGGCTGGAGAGTCCCACCAATCCTCGACAAATGATTTCTGATATTCGTGTAAGATATTTATATCCTACCACTAGACAAGCTCATAAGTAACGGAGATTTTTTTATATTATTATTTGTATCTTTTTATATATGACAATATTTGATGCTTGATTGTTGGTATGATGTTTGTGAATAAATATCCATTTGTGAATAAATATCTAGGAAGTCAACTACCCTTTGAGGTTGTATTGTAAAATATGTTGCAAAGCAATAGTATTTGTCTTTAGGAGTATATAATTTTGTAAATGATATACAACGGTATAGAAGTTGAATAAATACTATTTAATCAAGTCCTTTGAGCTTCATATTATTTTTCCATCCCAAAACTTTTAGTGCTTGCTTTTCAGTTCATCAAAACTCTTGGCCCAATATGCAATGTGGTGCTTAAATTTTTGTGGCAATCTTGAATCTTCTGATCTTTGTGCTCTAATAGTGAAGTTGTATAAGAACAACTGGGAACTTTCTTTGTGCTTTTATGCCCAGGTTCCATGTACTTGGATATAAATTTATTGATATAATTTCCTTAAATTAGCTTTACGTTAGTAACCAAACAAGTCGTACCATGTAGACTGTTAGGTTCATCCATAAATTCTTAAAAATATGTCCTGAATACAAAAATATTGATAAGCAACTAACCCGGCCATTCTACTTGAATGGGTATTATATTGCATGTAACTAGAGCAATTCGGGGGTGCTATGGTATGGTAGAAGGGTTATATAAAATTCTGGCCTTAAATCTTGAAACTAAAGGAAAATAGCCTGCGGGTTCAATAGAAGTTTGAAACAAGACCCATGGGTCACCACCACCAACCAAATTTAATGCAAAGTATAATAAGTGCCAAACTCTTTTTTATTCTATTTTTGCGTTGATGCTGGGGCATATTGCTGATAGATAATGCAATAGCACTGCTGCTCACTTCTTTCGTTTAGTGATTTTCACCATTGATTGGATATACATCATAAAGTTTCTTGATCTTTTCTGTAATAACTTTGAGTTCAATATCTGTCTTAATTTCTTTTGTTAACAAAATTATGATGAGTACAACAGGGTGCTATCTTCTAAAGAAAAATTTGTTTCATGCCTATCCCTTGACAGAAAATAGCAGAGATGGCTCATGCACATGGTGCTATTGTGTTAGTGGATAACAGTATAATGTCTCCCGTATTGTCACAGCCACTGGATCTCGGAGCAGGTATAGAAAATAAGCTGCCAACTTCCAAGATTTTGCAAACTACAAATCCTTTTCAATTGTTATTGATTTTTGTTCGTCTATCATTCTTCCAGACATTGTTATGCACTCGGCCACAAAGTTTATTGCTGGACACAGTGATGTCATGGCAGGTGTTTTAGCTGTTAAAGGCGATAGGTTGAGCCTCTTACTCTATCTTTACCATTGCTTTTATGTCTTACTAGCCTTCATACACGAGCTCACGCGTGTGCAGAAGGTATTTTTTTGAATCACGGCATGGTACGTGCGACTTACACATTTTAAATGTATTTATATGAGTAAATTGACAAAAGGAAAGTCAAATATTTAAAGTAAATGAATAATTCATAAACTAATTAAAGCAGCTAAATTCACATAATAAAATCGGTCTCTATAGAATTTACATTAAGAATAAAGAAAATAGTATTTAATAAACAATTGATTGAATTATATTATTACTAGCTTATTGTGAGGCTAAGCCCACCTCCTTTCCCCTTAGTGTAGATAACATCGTTAATTTAAGGGAACTTTAACAAAAAGCTTCCGGTACTGTTCACTTTAACGAAAAAACCACATTTTTACACTAAAAAGTCAATCATGGTACTATTCACTTTACCTTTTATTTTGTTCTTATTGTTAAAACTCAAAAGTTTTCAAGCCCTTTTAATTAGTTTTCTTTAATTGAATCACATTATTATCTGTGTGCGAAAGACCTTTGACAGCTTATTTAATCACATTGTTATCCGTGTGCGAAAAACTTTTTTTATTCTTTTATCTCTTCCCACTTATATTTATATTATATTTTATGATGATCAAACTACCAAATTACCCTTGCATTATTTGATATATTATATTGGGCTGCTTTTGGATTTTTTTGGTTGAGGAATGGCGTGACCCCAAATTTTTGTTGGCATGCTTGGGGCGCTGGCTTTCTATGATATAGATATCCATACCTGACTTCCTACTTGTTTCCACTGTTAATAGCTTGGCGAAACAGCTATATTTCCTACAAAATGCAGAAGGCTCTGGATTAGCTCCATTTGACTGTTGGGTCTGTTTACGAGGAATTAAGACAATGGCCTTGCGTGTTGAGAAGCAACAGGTGTAGTTTCGATTGCGCTTGTAATTGTGCCATTTCAGATATCATACGTTTATCATTCTAGGATATAGATACTACATATGCTCTCTTTTCTACTGTTTTTGCAATGAAAGATTAGTGAGTTTTGTTGCAGGCTCTGTGAAAGATTTGGCTTTCCCCAAAATTTTACTGATTAGAATCTGCTGCATTTCTAATGCTTCTGCACATTTGGCAGGATAATGCTCAAAAAATTGCTGAGTTCCTCACTTCCCATCCACGAGTGACACAAGTTAATTACGCTGGGCTTTCTGGTCATCCTGGACGTGCCTTGCATTATTCTCAGGTATAAAATTGTAGATTCATAACTCAACACGATCAGTTTTCCAGATTCTCATACACACCTCTTTCAGGCAAAGGGTGCAGGATCTGTATTGAGTTTTCTGACAGGTTCATTGTCACTATCAAAGCATATTGTCGAGACTACCAAATACTTCAGTATAACTGTCAGTTTTGGTAATAATTCCTACTCAATTATCAGCTTTCCATTGTTCTGACAAATAGTGCACCGATATTTGTGAGTGGTAGATACTGAGAACCGTGTCAAAAAGGTTTGTCTTTCCTATTAAATATGAATAGAGATGAAAGGGGAAGGTTCAATAAGAAAACTGATTCTGAATGCAGACTGCACTCACAACTAGTGCATGTGTACTATGTAAATCTCTTCGTGTATAATGCGATGCATTATAATACATGATTACTTGTAGATGGACATACTGTTGATTTGCAGTGTTTTTATTCAAAACATGTGTATTTGAAAGCTCTTTTGATTATCATCACCATTACTGATGCTATTGTTTTTATGTTTTGTTCTATTAGCGAGTAATCTTGAGCATCAACATTGTTGGGTGAAAATCATGCAAAACAATTCTATAATTAAGCTGACCTTAGATTGCTTATAATTACAGGGAGTGTGAAGTCCCTTATAAGCCTGCCGTGCTTCATGTCTCATGCAAGCATACCATCTACAGTGCGTGAGGCCAGAGGCCTATCTGAAGATCTTGTTCGTATTTCTGTGGGGATCGAGGATGTGAATGATCTGATTGCTGATTTGGACCATGCACTTAAAACTGGCCCTCTGTAGTTGCCCAAGGGTTATGACTGGCAGCCTTGAATTGGCATAATGATATCTGCCCGCCGCGAACGGGTTACAGAGCAATAGGTAACTAGTCATTCTGATTTTCGTTGCTCCCAAACAGTGGACAATAATTTTATTTTGGTTTAGTTGATCGGCTACGCAGTTGTTAGTTGAGAATGCATGTTTATTTTGGTTTAGTTGTACAGGCGTGGTGAATCGATCGTAGATACTACTCCTCCATATATTAAAGGAAAATAGACAAAAATAGGACATTTTCTTAATCTTAGGATTAAAATAGGATTTTTCGAATATGCACATGTCATGCACAACAATCGGACAGAAGTATGATTTGTCTTGCACCTTGAAATGACCAAATTGCCTTCGTATATTTGTGTTATTCCCTCCCATTTCTCTCTCTCTCTCTCTCTCTCTCTCATATTGATATTTATTGGATGTTCTTAGATTAGTGAAAGACAATGGACAACCTAGTTGGAAGATTTGATTTATCTGGAGATTGGGGAATGAATATATTTCATGCTTGCAGATTAGGGATTTCTTCCTCAAATTATCTTATTCCCCAAATTCAAAATTCCATTCAAAACCCATCTAGGACAAAACTAATCTGGAGTCCAAAAAAATTTCACATGTCGAAGAAAATCCATTATGAAAAACTAAAAACACCATTTTTTTTGTTGCAATCTCTCTCTCCCCTCCACCGATGGATGCCTTCTCCAAGTTCAAAGAAAATCGAAAATTTGTTATCTGTACCAATACGTGCAACGACGTCGGATTTGTTGTGGACGTGCATTGTGCAATTAACGACATTGGGGTATATGTGAGGGCCTAGATTTTGGAAATCCCTTAGAGATCTGTAGTTTATAATTCTTTGACCTGAACCTAGATTTTGGAAATCTCATTAATAATCATCTCTTTTGAGTGACATGCACACGACATAAACACGACATGCATAGGACATAGACATGATGTGCTCACAGCTCTCTCTTAGAAATTAGAAAAATAACTTCATCACCTGTGACGTCACCACCATATACACTATAAGCATACCATATGCATAATACATGCACATGATATGCACAAAACTGGAGATCGAGCAACGAGTTGCTTTTCTCATTAATAAGAAACTTAAACGGGATCCTATTGGTATAGTGGATACAATTAAAATATAATTGTTATGTATATAAAGTTACAGTGGCAGTTTGAAAAGTCATGTTAAATATATCAATCACTGCTTAACCGTGCACGTGGAAAATATGATACTCGTTGTCGTTATTTCATGGACACGCATGACCCTTAACGTCCTCTAAGCTTTTTCTTAATTTTGTTTCTTGCCGAGGCTAACTAGGTTGTGGTCATACTCGCTAAATTCCGAAGCACAACATATTTGCATCCTAACTAGTGAATATTCCCACTCCTCATATTAAGATGTAATGATGCACATTATATGCACACCACTTGCACATTACGGAGAAAATTTCATAGAATTCTACAATTGAACACTTGAAATAGAAATTGTTCCATCCCAATTTTGTAGCACGTCAAAACTTGAAATTTATTCCACAACCCATAAGCCCCAACATGAAACATAAACCCTAAATTAACTTCTAAGTATTAATTCATCTTACAAACAACTCATCTTTTCCATAAACCATTGATGAAGAAACTTGGAACTAAACACCCTACCTTACTATACCTGCCAAAACTTTAGTCATCGAAAAAAATGGAACTTTCTGGCCAAAACAGAAAATATGGTACAAAATTCAGCTCACTATTCTCACCTCTCTCTCGCATCCCTTTGTTCAAAATTAGAGGTATGAGGTCAACCTAAAATCCAGCTCACTCTTCTTATCTCTCTTTGGACTTCCCTTTCTTTGAAATCGGAGCTCAGAGATCTAAGCTCAACCCAGAACCCCAAAGTTCACAGAGCTCTCTTGACATCCATTTCTTCTAAATGATAAAAGTGATGCAATGGGCTGATGATTTTTAGTATTTATATGTCGGTATTTTAGTAATTTTGGTTTTGTGTATGGTGTGCATAGCCGGTTTGTCCTATTTTTGTCCCAAGATTAAGAACATGTCATATTTCTGGTTATTTCTGATGCGAGAATTACTTGACACTCAAATTAAACCCTCGTTTGACAATTGTAGTAGAATGGATAAGTGAGGGATCGTTCAAAACCGGGGATTAGGAGGGCTTGCTAAAACCTTCTAAATTGACTTAAAAACATAAAAACTAAATTAAAACAGATTTAAGACACTTGGGAACAAGGAAATAAAAAAAAAGGGGGTTTTAGTTTTGACGAAGTTGAAATAAACAAACAAAATGCAAAAATCGACAGATTGTAAACAAGTGTTGTGAAACAAGATGGTTGGTGAATTAGCTCGAGGTTCTTTCTCCACACATGATATTTATGCATATGAATCAATTTCCAGTTATTCCTTCATTGAATTATGAACGACAATGCCCCAAATTAACCGTGACATCACTAGTTAACCCTCAGATTTTCCTTATATTATTGGATTGGATGGCATCATTCGACAACCCAAAACATTCTCAAAAGTTCCCTACATGTCATCATAATAGAGATACAATCGAAGATCATTAAGAATAATGAAAACCATAAGCATTGACAAAGCATTTGCAACTATGACATCATGTTACTCATGCTAAGAATTAAACTTAATGCGATCGTGACAAGCGACCTTCACTACTTTCAAGTATAAGTTAGTAACGATTATGTGAAACCTTCTTAAACTTTAGCCACATATTCATGCATGCTAATTAAGTGTCGACCCTCAATCAACAAACACAAATAAGTTAATCATCAAATAGTTAAGCCAATTGCATTCACGAATCAAGAGTTCATAACCGGAATTCATCAATTCATATCACATAAACAATCATGGTATTGAAATCACCCCTAGCCAAAAAGGGTTTAGTTCCTCATAACTTTGAAATCAAAGAAACACCTAAACATTCCAACAACTCAAACTTGAATTGTATGAACGTTTAGGCACTCTTCTCTTCCATTCCTCATATTACAAAACAAAGAGAATTGAATTTAAACATTGAAATCAAAGAAACGCGTAAACATTCCAACAACTTAAACGTGAATTGTATGAACGTTTAGGCCCTCTTATCTTCCTCTTTATTGTGGCACAAGGACTAAGGGATGTTGTTGGTGTGTTGAATGGATTGGGGGATTATGGAAATGGATGAGGAGTGGTGGAGAAAATGGTGCAGAAAATGGAGAGACACTCACGGCTAAGGAAGAAAATGGAAGTGTTTGTGGTGTGTTGTGTTGTGAATGAGATGATTTTAATGAATGGGAATGCAAGGGTATTTATAGGAGGAGTGGAGGTTATATGGCTGTTTGTTTAAGGTGTTTGTGTGGAGGAATGATGGAAAAATAGCTAGGACACATGTGAAAACTGGAATTGCACAAGGGGAGCAAAGGGAACCCACGGCATGGATGGATTTGTGCATGTGTTGGCTGATTTGTTTGTTGGGGAAGCATGTGTTTGCATGTGGATGTTGTTTGTGTGAAGTGTGTGTGAATGCATGTGGATTAAAGAATGAATGGTGGCTGAAATGATGAAGTAGGAATGTGGAGATGCATGTGAAATGTAAAGGGAAAAACTGGAAATGCTCAAGGAGTGCACGGCATTGATTGTTTGTTTGATGATGATGCATGTGTTGAATGATTAAGATTGTGGAAATGCAAGGGAATGCACGGTTTAGGCTTGAAGAAAAGGTGTGTGAATGGGGTAATTGAATGATTAAAGTGCATGTGAGTTAGATATTAAAGGATGGAATGCATGTGAATTAAGTTGGAAAGCTGGAATGATGAAGTGGGAGTGCACGGCATTGAGTGTTTGTGTGTTGTGGTGGGTTGATGAAAGAATAATGTCAAGGTATGGGATTGTTAAAGGGGGAAATGCATGTGCAAGGATGAAGAAATGATTATGGATGCATGTTTGAAGGATTAAAGGGATGTGGGGTGTAATGCATGTGACTTGTTTGTGGAATGTAGGATGGAATTAGGGGGAATGCACGGCACAAGGGAGAATGGGAGAGTGTGTTTGAATGATGAAGGAATTAGTGGTGCATGTGCATGTGTTTTAGGTTGTGAAAGCATGTGGATTAGGTGGAAAGAGGTGGGTGTGCATGTGAGTTGAAATGCATATGTTTAAATGGTTGAAATGTGTAGATGATTATGAGTATGATAAGTGATAAGTGAATGATATGTTAAGTGATAAATGAATGATATGTGGTGAGTGATAAGTGAATGAAAGTGATAAGTGATAATAGGGCTAGTTTAAAGGGCTAGGGTTTAAGTACATAGAATGGGCCTAAAATAGGTTGGTTTGCATGGCATAATATGTTTGATTGGGCTAGAGGTTTTCCATGGCTCAAAGGATTTGTTTGATTGGGCTAGGCCCTTTGTTTGATGTCCCCAAAGAGCATACAAGGCTTCAATTTCGTCCATCCTCTTTGCTCCATGATTAAGCTATCCAATCCATGCCCAAAAGTGCCCCAAATAGCCTCAAAATGCACTTTCTTGCTCCCTAAGCCCTTAGAACCTGAAAACACACAAAAGAAGCATAAAGGACTAAAATAACTAGAGAAACATAACGTAAATGCACGAGAACAAGCCATTTAAGTCGCATGAATATGCTCCTATCAAACTCCCCCACACTTATCTTTTGCTAGTCCTCGAGCAAAACAGAATAAAAACAAATAAACAAAACGACACTAAACACGTAAAACACAACCTACACCTTCCAACAATCGTTTCAGGGATTTCCAATGCACATGACAAGTTAAAAATCATTATTCCCACAGAATTTAGCCATCTTTACCCTTAAGTACATTCTTAATCATAGTCACCACATACTAGTTCGCAATTAAGCATTTAAAACCATGTTTTGAATGTAGTAACATGCCTTAGAGAATTTGCTCAATTCCTTACAAGATATGCACTCAATTTTCACTCAGAATTTTTTAACTACACACCCTAATCTAGTCATATGTGAGAAGATTGATGTAAACATGAAAACGAACACTCACATATATGTATCACAAAGAACGCAATTTTTGGAGTTAATAAGCATGTTTAGATATGATCTCATGAATGGAATGCTACTACTTAGACGCGAGAACCAGTGACACCATATGCTCATACCAAGTTCAAACTCCACAAATTGAAACACATAACACTCAAGATTGAAGTCACGGGTTGTAATGGGGCTTGGGGCGTGTGGATAACAAAGAAGGGATATGGAAAACAAAGGTTCTTAAAGAAATAGTGAGCAAGGCAATTGAATCAACTTAGAATTCACTTTTTGAATGAAAACTCAACTTTGGAA